TGACGTTTAACCTGCGTGAACAACAAACAAGACTACAGGCGCGGATGGATGAGTTACGGTCTGAGATGGCGTTTGCGGAGACTGGGGAAAAACCGTGGCCTTATCGTTCCTGCCGGATGCGTGAAGGTCGCGGATATTGCGAAAAACATGGCGAATATCACACGCATATTCTGGTGTGGGGGGATCGTAATGGCGAGGACAGAGAGAAAATTTCACACTGCCCTCACTGCCTGAGTGCTGAAATCAACGATGTGATTATGGAGTTGTCGTCCCTGAAGGCGGAAGAACTGACTGATAACGCCGGAATTGCACTGCGTTTTCGTGACTGTGAGTTTGAAAACTATCAGGAGATTAATCCTGACGCAGCCAGAAATCTTGCTGCCTGTCGTCGCTATGCCGAAAACTGGGCGGATGTTCTGGAGAACGGCACAAATCTCGTGCTGACTGGCAGTTGTGGCACCGGGAAAAATCACCTGGCGGTTGCGATGGCAAAATATGTCATCCGCAACTATCTCGCCAGTGTTGAGATCACCGACGTGATGCGCCTGACCCGGGCTGTGAAAAACTGCTGGCGGAATGACAGCGAAAAAACTGCGGATGAGGTGATTGAGCATTATGCATCACTGGATCTGCTGATTATCGACGAAGTGGGTGTCCAGTTTGGTAGCGCGGCGGAAATGGCCATTCTTCAGGAAATTATCAATGCCCGGTACGAAAGCATTCTGCCAACCATCCTGATCAGCAATCTTTCACCGAAGGCGTTGTGGGCATACATCAGTCCACGTATTGCTGACAGGGTTACGGATGGTGGCCGTAACCTGTTGTCCTTTAACTGGCCCAGCTACCGTGCACATGCCGGAGGTGTGGCAGCATGATCAGCCAGAAAAGCCCGGTCTGGCGTAACGATGATCTGGAAGGTGCTGTTATTGGCGCATTCTTTTTGCGTGGGGCAGATCCGGAAGTGATGGATATTCTGGTCACACTACCGGCGGACGTTTTTTCTGTACGACCGTACCGGGATATCTACACAGGCATCTGCAGACAGGCCCGTGTGTCCGGCGTGATTGATCCTGTGCTGTTGTGCAATGAGATGCCGGAACTTGCCCCGGTGATTACTGATACCGGGCGTAAAACCTGGGTGAAGTCATCTCTGGAACACTATGTTGCAGCACTGCGACGCAATGCCGCACTGCGTGATGCAGAAAAAACACTGGCCGAAGCATTGCAGAAATTACGCGATGCGCATACCTGTGAAGCAGC